AAAAAAAAAAAAAAAAAAAAAAAAGATCGTCGACGGATACACGTTGCGTAACGCGCGAGATTTCATAGGAATTAAGGAACGATAAGCGTGATCAGTGTGGCTCGTCTTGGCAATTGTTGCCTTCGCTGAAGCGCCATTATGGATAATCGCCTTCGAGCCGCGGCGATGCAACTAACGAGTAAAGAGAGAAAGAGAGAGAAAAAAAAATCACACCGCCCGCCAGACCGATTTTGCGCGCTTAACCTTGCGAGAAGGTTGAACTCTTGGGTTATAATTTCGCGTTCGAGAGTCACGTTAACGATTATTATAAGTAAGAAGAGCGCGGATGTTGGTGAATTTTAAACGCACGCGATAGGGTTGCGGCATTCAAGGTTTCTCTTTCCTTTTCTTTTCCAGATATTAATAATCCTGTTTTAAGATCTTCCAATTCGTCCACCAATCTCGTTTTTCGTTTCGACGATACGCGGGAAAATTTTTGAAAAGATTGATAATAAAACTAAGGAAATAGAATTTTCCTCTCGAACTTAAAAAAAATTGTTCGATCGAAGAAGAAAATAATAATTAAATTCGTTCGATTAATTTGTTTTGTTTCTCGAGAGGAGGAGGAAAAATACAAAAGGGTAGACACGGAAGAATCGTTCGATTATGTAATCTACGAAAGAATAATCGTCGACAGAGAAAAATAGACAGACGTCGTATCGAGGATCGAGACGCGGATCGAGTGGTAGATCGACTCCGATCTTCCTCCAAGTTCGTACCAGATTCTTCACCGTGCAAGTTCAAGGCTCCACAGAGCGATACGGATACCTACAAGGTCATCGAGTGTGCAAATACTGTGATTATAGCCGCGTACAGGTGCAACTACATTTTCATTGTCGGAGATGAGACGTAGCTGACGTAAACGTGGCACGTATTAAAAACTTTTTGAAACAACTTCTCGAGACCAAGTCGCTCGACACGTCTCGCATATTTGCCATAATAATCGTCGAATAATAATATAATCCAGTTCTGTGAACGATAAGCGCCACCGTGTTTTCCTTGAGTAAGAAACCGTGTTTCTCTCCCGAGCCGAGATATTCGATTAATTCCTACCGTTTCGCGATCGGCGTTGCTCAATGGGAATGACAGAATTAATCATCGACCGGCTTTATTACTCACTCGACCCCGAAATATCCAACGGGAGGAAAGGAGAGAGAGCTGTTCTCGGACGGAACAGATAAGGTATTTTCATTCATAAGCCGTGAATCTAGCGAGCTAGATCGAGGAACACGTCATACCGGTTTCCGATTGACCGCTTTTTCAATTTTATTTTATTTATTTATTTATTTTTTTCTTCCGATTAAATTTTTCTCACCGTGGTACCAATGACGTGTTCGACTCGAATAAATAGGATTATTAAACGCGAAATTATGGATCGAACTGAATCGTTATGCAACCATAAACGATTCGAACAAAATTAATCTCACTCCAATAAAAACGGTTTCCTTAAATTCGTCCATATATATATAAATTTTCTTTAAAATTCGATCGATTCGTTTCTCTTCGTCAAATTTTTGTCAAACGCTTTTTCATCGTATATACCATTCGCAAATCAACAGAGAAAGATAATACACGATCCGTCTAAAGCGCGACAATACCACACCGTACATCATATCCTGTTACAAAAGACGTGATCTAGAAAGAAAAGAAGAAGAAAAAAAAACTAAAAACCTCATAAATAGTTAACAATGGGCGCATTATTAACCATTGATATTTCACTTTTATTACCTATTGAACCTATCCTACCGACTAGGTCAGTGTTAGCACCAAGTTAGGATATCGGTTAGTCACCTTCTTTCTGTCCCTCCTTCCCCCCGTTTTGAAACAACGGGGGGAGTGTACAACGCAACGATGGCGTTGCAGATCGTATCGAAAGAATGGGACAATTGTTTCGAGGTCATGGTCGAATTGCACGCCGAGCGTAAATGTATGTCGTGTATATCGATTGTCATCGACGCGTATATATACGACGTGTACACGCGTACAAGAAGTCGCGAGCCACCGCGATAAAGTCCCGTGTCCGATGACACCGATAAACCGGATAGAAATATCGACCAGGGAGGAAGGAGGGGAGGGGGGAGGGGGCAAAGGTAACCGCGCGTAATTATGCGGACTATTCGTTTCACGGGTTCCGGTACCAGGGCGTATCACCTTGCAACCATTCGACCCTGTCGTTTCCAACGGTGACGTGACCATTTAACAAGTGTCTTTCGGTCGGTAGCTGAATTCCATACCTAGGTATAATATACTTAGCAAATAACTACGATTAATCGCGACCCAGTGAAACAGTGAGGAAACTTTGCTCCACTGACGGCTCGAATCCAAGTCGGTGGTCTCAATGTATGAATATCGTGTCGTCACGTCGAGTCACGATATCGCGTTATTATTACTCGCTCCTAAGTTCGAGATAGAGGATCGATCTTACCTATTGATAATATAATTAAATTTAAGGTTAATTCGTAGCGAAATTTCTTGCACACGATTCGAAGATTCGTGTAAAGTTACTGTTACCGCAACAATTTTGAAACGAAATAGCCTATTCCGATGACTAGACGTAACGTCAAAGGTAACCCCTAATTCCATATCGTTGAATAATCAATCGATTTTAAACAGATTTACCATTGCATCGATTACGAAAACCGTGTCTACACGATTTGGTCAAAAAATCTAGATAATCTATCAAAATCAAAATATCCAAGAGAAAGATATATCGAAAAAAACCATAAAACAATAGAAACGAAATATCCAAGGTCTAGAGAAACTTCGAACATTTGCCACTGTCACGCGTTATCCCTANTTATTCGGGCATTTTTTTTAACGCCGCCAAGTTACGGCCGTTAAGCGTTACGCGATACGAAGTGTGAGTCACACACAGGTGCCACGGAACCGGACCCCGCTGCGGAGAAAGATCGCGATTCCATTCCTCTTTCTCCTTCTTTCTCTTTCGCCGACCGAGACACACGTACACGCGCGCGTATCCGCACGCACTCCGCCACTTCAGTCTGTGCCGCGATCGGAATTGGGAAGGCCTAGAGCGAATCCAAGATCGGCCCCGGTCCCCACACGCGTTTCACCCGACGTGCGTCCACGTCGATGACTCTTGGACGAGTGATCCGGGCACAGTGAGGGTATCCTCTCCTCCAAGAAGGGGTATCCACAGTGACAGTGAGTAAATCCACCATGTGAATTCGGTGTCGGATCCAAGGATTTTCTTCTCCGAGGTTCACAGGACCACGGGAGAGAGAGAGGGAAAGAGAGGGGAGAAAGAGAGAGAGAATGAGAGAGAGAATGAGAGAGTGAAAGAGAGAGAGAGAGAGAGGGGGTCGCGGAAGAGTACCATGTCTCTCTACCGTTCCATGTCTCTCCGTGAAACTTGAACAATTGGGAGGGAAAGCGATATATTCACGACGCGAGCACGCTCTTCTGTCGGACTTTCGAAATATTCGTCGACTTTTTGCCTTTCTATTTGCGTAGGATGTTCCTCGCGCGTGCACGCGCGCGCCAACCGCGGGAAATCGGTTCGAGGAATCGAAAAAACGTTCCGTTCGATTTTTCCGTCGATCGTAATAAAACGATCGTTTCGTTAATACGGGTCGGCCGCCTCGATACATTTTCGTAGACTCGGTGAATCAGCCGACCGATTCCGTTACTCGCGTTCGTGGAAAGTTCAAGGAAATACGGGCGTGCTCTCGGCTGCTCGCTCGCTTCGTTCGTTCCCCAGCCTCGGCTGCCCGCTTTCTTAAATCCTTATTATTTAGCGGGGGCCGATCATTTTCGCGATCCCATTATATGATAATTGCCGCGACACACATATATTCGACGTGGGAGTATTACTTCATGCTCGAGTAACTTTTGACATATTGGAAGCGTAATCGGTTGTGACACGAAACCGCGTGCAACCCGCGATCCCTTTCCAACTTGTACGATTTCTTTTGTCGATCGGGGTATATGTATATATATATATATACGTGAATTTAATTTTTGAATAGTTGTCCAATTTTCGATCGAGAATCGTTCTCTTTTATTATTATTTATTAAGAGAATTGGAGCTTTTTCTTTTCTCGTTAATGAAACGTTTACTTTAGTTATAAATACTTCGAAAGGGATCTGTTCGTTCACCTCGAGCTCAACCTGGATTCTAGATCACCGATCGTAGACGTTCATTGATCGATGCTCAGACGCTGTTTTTTATTCCTGCCTCGTTGAACACGATGAGTCAACGTTGCTCGATATCTAAAACGATCGTAGAGAGAGCATTCCTCCAGTCGTTCTAGCTTTTGAGCACGGTCTACTTTTTTTTTCCCCCCCGATTCGCAAATTGAAACGAGTTTTTTCAACGTTTCTGGAACCATTTTTATCCCTCATAAATTATACGGCGCGTAGAGTTCGACGGATCGACCGGCTATATTTACTGGCGTATCGATCCATCAAAACGATTATTATCTTCGCCGGCTTATTATTTTCACTAATAATAATCAATATTTCGTATCCATTATTTATTAAGAACGTTCCTTCCAACTGTGGATACAAGATAATCCCTCGAATTTTTAAAAATGCATAAAAAAAAAAATAACGTTTAAGCAACAATGACACGAATCTCGAGCAAATTATCGAAACGATTATTAAACTTTCAATATATTTCGAGGGAATTTTATATTTTAGCAAACGATTCGTCAACGTATCCAGAAACTCTCGGAACAAACGTCGTCAGCCTCGGTCGATTTACAATCCCCCGTAAGAGATTGTCGTATCGGCGTCACGTTCGTTTCCATTCACGAATCGGTAGGAACAATAAATCACGTTTATCTTGGGGCCAGCTGGAGGTTACTCGTACGAATCAACGTCACGTTGCAATAACGGAACTACGTCATAAATTAGCGAGAGAGCTGCCTCGGCGGCCAGGTAGCCCGACAAAAATTCTCTGGCTACCTCGCGTCACACCGGTTTCTCGGCACCGTTCCCTTCCACGCGATCCACGAAGGTCAAGTACTTTTCACACTTCCATCCATTCTTCCGGTTATCGACCGGATCCTTGCCGATTCCTCGTCCCTTTTTCCCCTCCAAATTTCGTA